TACTCTCACGAGCATGGAGCGTTGCCACGGTTACCACAGCAACGCTCCAAATCTCGCGAGAGTGAACTCTAGCCCTGGAGCGCAGGCTAGAGTTCACTCTCAACACTGGGCCACCAGGGATTCCCCACCAGACCACCAGGGATTCACCACCGGACCACCAGGGACTAAGTGTCCCCCCTCCTTCCAGTAAAGGTAAGAAGGGAGGGGGGACATAAATATTTATTTTAATTAAATTAAAAATATATATATATTATAAAAAAAAGCCCCCCCTACCCTTATCACACACACTGCCCCCATACACACACACTGCCCCCATAGTTAATAATGTATACACGCTGCTCCCATACACATATGTATGCTCGTTCTTATTCAAACACACTGCTCCCATACACATACACAAAGCCCCCATACTGCTCTCTATATACACATTATTGGCCCCCATACACAATACATTGGTTCCCTATACACATACACGTGTTTCACATATTAATATTATTGCCTCATACACACATTACTGCCCTTATACAATACACACTGCCCCCCATACACATACACTGCCCCTCATACACACACACTGCCCCTCATACACACACACTGCCCCCCATACACACACACATGACCGCTTGTGTTGGGGTCTGGTTTTCATGCTCCGTACATGGCTGATGGTCCTGTTTGCTGTGGGGGTCCCCTTTAGTTTCTAGTGCTAGGACGTGCTATGTCCGGTGTTTCTGTGGTGTGTTGGAGGTGCGTCTGTTGGTTACGGGTTGGGTCTCCGTGGGGGCGTCTTGTGTGTCTGTAGGCTCTAGCCGTGGGTTTCTCTTGGTGGTCTAGAATGGTTATCGGGTGTCGGGGGTGGGAGGAGAGAGGTGGCATAGGGAGGAATGTGGTTCAGTGATATGTTTGGGTTTAGTGTGTCTGGGGTGTGTCTGTGCGTGTGGTGATCTGTTTGTTCGTTAAGTGAGAAGAGGGAATTCATAGAACCATGGGTCCCAGATTTTATGGAAGTGTTTTGTCATGTCATGGACCATTGCGGATAATTCTTCCATTTTGATTGTGTCCTTAATTTTCCGTTTCTGTTTCTAGGGATGATGTGTCTGGGCTTTCCCATTTTTCGGCTATTGCTCGTCTTGTTGCTAATGCAATTCTGGCGATTAGTTTGTTTTGGGCTTTGGGTGTATTGGTCAGTGGTTTGGACAGCAACCATATCCAGGGGTCAAGTGGGATGTCTGAGTGTAGAATCCCGGAAACCATGGCCGCTATCTGCTGCCACAGTCGTGCTGTGGGGGCACACTCCCACCACATGTGTAGGTGTAACCGCGGCTGGTGCCCTTATTTACCACTGTAATGTCTTAACGCATAGAACTTAGTAGGGCAAACCATACAGATATCTTAGCCATAATTTTATTTAGTTAGTGTAAGAGATCCTCTATTTAAAATATATAAATAATTGAGAATACAATATAAAATAAGGATTGTCTTGGAAGCAATAGTTTTGTCTTTTAGATATTTATTATATAAAAATATAAATATAGACATATAAAATCCATTATAGCAGAGTTTATAAGATTAAATAAAATGCTTGCAAATAACATTAATAGGTTAACATACCCTTCTGAACATGTCATCATGTCAGCCTCTGTCATTTTAAGATGGAGCAGCGTCTGTCTCCAAGTCTCTCC